CACACACACACACACACACACACACACACACACAGACACACACACACACACACACACGCACACACACAGACGCACACGATTCTTATTAGCACAAAAACCTACAGCCACAGCCCAGTATCTTCATCATCAAAACGGTTGGAAGCTTATGCAAGGGCGGGCATATCACGAGAGCTCGATGTGCAAAGAGCTTGGTTTGGTCAAAACACCAAAAAAGGCATTCCATCGGCAAGCCACATACAACCCTTCCCTTAGCCACTCCGGGGCAAATGATCCCCAAAAATTCCCTTTCGAGATGCGAAATTACCATAAGATAGTATGAATACCTTGATCAAAAAGATTCTTCGCTCCGATTAGCTAGCCGTTGAATACTTTTACCTCGCCAGCTTGAAGGCGACCACTTCTGTCACCTCCACCACGGACGCTTCGGCCTTGTTACTTACTGCTATTGCTTCTCCTAGTTGTTGCCGATTATATTGACTTTAACTGATGTTCTCCGCTCTTCTTACTCACACCGTCTGAAACCCCTGTGGACCTCCTGCTCCTCTTCTTGTGAGCGCTTCATTTTCTCCACCGCAACTTCACCTCGACCCCTTGTCACACCCGTCTGAAACCCCTGTGGACCCCTTTTCACCATCTCATTTTACGGCTGTTTATGCTCCTGAGATCTTTAAAAGTAGGGTATATTTCCTCCATGTCACAGTGTCATGCACCAAGCTCCGTGCAAAATAGTACCTCCTCCACCTCCCATTCCACTCACTGCTGGTAGTAAAAAAGGGTATTGAAGCAAAATTATAACCCTCAAATTTTCTGCTCGTCGTCCTCAGGGATTATCACCACCTCCCTGAGAAGCGAAATTCCCAGCCGGAGATACAGGTGCCACTAGATGATCTGCAGTCGAACGACCAGAAACACAACCTCAGAATTCCACCAATCACACAGCAAAGCAGACTCGAAATCGTCTCAGAATTCCACATTTGAACTCGGAATTTCACCACTCAACCGGCAAAGACTAAAACTCAAAAACTTCACAAATAAATCAATCAGCAAAGCAACATGACAAAAAAAAGCGAAGCGAAAACTTTTGCCCAAAATGCTTGCTGATTCCTTATCGCCTTCACCGAATCTCTCTCTCTCTCTCTCTCTCTCTCTCTCTCTCTCTCTCTCTCTCTCTCTCTCTCTCTCTCTCTCTACCCGCCTTAAATTCTTCATACTGTCAAAGTTAACACAATTTCGTCAATAAAAGAAAACAGGAAACAAAAAAAAAGAACTTCAATCAAAGGAAAAGGTAAATGAACTTTCCCGCGTTTTCCCCCAAAAGCCGGACAGATCCGGTTATTCCTTGCACCAAAAAAATCCAACCACTTTATCAATGCCCGAAGTTTCTTTTAAGTACTGGCAGTGTGAATTATCTTTGCGCACTTCTGTAATTTGCACTGGCGGAGTGAATGCACTTTCCCGCCTTTTCCTCGCAGAAGAGGACAGAAACGCCATCCTTCCTGGCAGATATATATCCCGCCAATTTTTTTTATTTTTATTTTTTTTATTATTTTATTATTATTACTACTATTATTATTATTATTATTATTTTTTTTTTTTTTATCCATGTCTCAATTTTGTTTTGCTCAGCGCAACAACTAGCTCAGGTCTCTCTCTGCCTGGCAATCACTGGCCGATATGAATCACTAAAAAAACAGCAATTGCCATGTTCTCTCTCTCTCTCTCTCTCTCTCTCTCTCTCTCTCTCTCTCTCTCTCTCTCAACAGTATAGTCAAGGTGTGAGGTTGATG